TTCAAGCACAAAGCCAAGAACCTGAGTAGGCAGCTGATTGTAGGGTCAAACTGTTGCAGGAGGTGATAACAAAGCGAAGCAATGCTTTTAAAAAAGTAAATGCTTGAAGGCTTTCTTTCTGAATCCTCCTCCTACCTGAGCAGCTCACTTCTTCATCCATACACTAGTCTGTAACAGCGATGTGATAAAAGATAACATTATTTGAATATACAATCAGGCTATAATTAACCAGAGATGACAATTATAAATAACACTGTGTCCCAGAGTTTCCAAGAAACCTGACATACACAGTTCTTGGGTATGTTGAAACAATTCCAAGAAAAGTAAAGAAATGAGAAATCTTTTAGAAGTCCTCAATTAAAATGTGTTTCAGTATAAATGACTTTCAGTATGTGTTTTGGTACATATCACTGAAAAACATTCTCCCCTAACTTCACACCTTTAATTGTTTTCATTGTCCAATTACAGTTTTTCAGAATTAAGACCTTATAGGTGGGATGGCGCTTGTGTCTACTTGAAACGTGGAACAAAGTTAATGTGTGCCAGAGTGGTGCACCCATGGGAAACAGGTATCTATGTCCTCCTCAGGGCTCTGTATCCGGATCTCAGGCCATGACGTGAATCACCTTTAGAGAGTGACTTAAAAAATGAACCATGAAAAGGTTGTATTTCTTTTCTTGGCCCCCTGCCTCTTTCACAGCTTCTTGGGATCTTTCACTACCTCCTTATAGTTCACCTACTGTCTAGGTTGGGAAATAGTATTATTTTCCAGAGGAAAATTTAATCTTAGGATTCAAATTACGTGAGGGGTTGTGTAAAATATATGATTAATGAATCATATGTATAGTCCATGCCTTTTATTAAGAACTATGGAGGGAATTCAAAAATTAAAACCTGATAGCAATATGTAGCCCTGGATAAAGCTGAGTGATGATAAAAAACCTCTTTAAAGGGTAAAGGAGGCCTGGCAGTGCTGTTGCAGAAGCACTGGACTGCTCACTGCAAGGCCCAGCCTTTCAAACCCAGCAGCCACTCGGCAGGAGACAGGTGTGTCTGTCTGCCTCTGGAAGGATTTACAAACCCCTGAAACCACCTATCAGGTCACTGTAATGCAGAACTGGCTCTTGAGCAGTGGGTTTGTTGGATTATTTAGAAGGCAAACATTAGAAAAATATATAGCATACATAGTAATGTCCCTTTAGTGAAAGACTAAGCTTTAGTCAAGGGGATGATGCCCCTTTGTCAGAGATGCTAAATAATATGGAATCCCCATTCACTTTCTGTGTGTGAGGCAATACATGGAAAGATGTGCAAATTAATAAACAAAATAATAATCTGATCTAAACTGTAAACTTGGTACATGAATTTGCTCGTTCAGTACACTGTCTCGAGGACACACCACAGTTCCTCATGTCTAGTAGAGGTAATATTAAGCTGGTCTTTAACTGAAAGATATAAACTTAACAATATTATCTCATCATGATTTATATAGACTGCTAAATCAACCACTGATATTACAGAAACAGCCTCTAAGCTGGCACAATAAGAAAAGGCAATCACAAGAATATCTGCTTCAAAGAAAGCTTCAACAATTTCAATCTCATGCTGAAGTGTCAGGAGTAAAATCAGGGGTGAACTAATTCAGGTCCTCGGCTATAATAAGTTTAGCTACACATTATTAGAGTACTCTACATGATTACAACAGTAGAACTGCGTCATTTTCATATTTATGATTTTTATTTATAAACTTGAAAAAACAGAGGATTATTATAGATGACACAACTCAAACACACTACTCCTCGTGGATCTTTAAGACAGAGCAGAACTGCTCCGTAGGGTTTCTGAGACAATAAATCTTTATAGGAGCAGAAAGTCTCATCTTCCTGCTGCAGAGCACCTGTTGGGTTTGAACTGCTGATCTTATGAGTAGCAGCCCAACTCTTCATCCACTGTACTTTTTGTCTTGAAAAATATAACTCAACGTCATTGAAAACATATGATGAGAGATTGGGAATAATAAACTTCATGAGAATGGACACATCCAAGCTGGCCAGTAGGTCGTGGCAAATATTACATGAAACGCAGATGTATTTAAAAAGTAGCTGGACCTCTACCAGAAGAACAGAAAGGTGCAAGCAGAAGCTGTCGACAAAAGTACCCCTACACCTACAGTGCAAATAGGAGGTGCTAATCAGAGGGGAAACATAAAGTCTGATGTGGAGTGGAACAAGAAGAGAAACTGAGTCCCCAGCAGTGGACATGTATGGAATAAAGTGCATGCAGATGGGTCTACTCATGTTACTTCATCAAAAGGCTGGGCAGAGTCGCGGGAGCCGGCAGAAAGTCATGTGTTAGAACAGCAGCTGATCGGTATTAGAGAAGATTAACTCACAGTGCCATGGTGGAGGGCCCAGGATTATTTTATGTACTTCGATTGCCTTACAAGCCGTCAGCACAATTATTGCCCTCCGATGTGAATGACTGATCTGTAACCACAGCTAAACAGCATGCTGCTTAGGGGCCTAGGAGCTTCATGAAGATGAATTTCCATACCATCAAAGTGCTTTTAATGGGCTCCCTGATCCAACCACAAGGCCTGTTTTGCAAGTATATAGAACTCAGGATGAAGGCTTCCTGTCCAAAAGGATTTGGTAGGTTGTCACTTGACAATTCCCAGCCAGCACAGGGGAGGAGAGGGGGGAGATAGGTAGAGTTGTCTCTGCTTTGGAGGACTAAGGGGGTGTGTGTATCTGGGGGAGGGTACAGATGCTTGCTGAATGCAGCCAACTGCTGTATCCACAGCTGAATTCAATGCGCTTAACAAATAATGGCAATTTAGCTATGCTTGCGAGGAATAGCTTGAGTCACTTTGCATTAGCGTCTGGCTGAGTGTTAAACTCATTTCTACACGGGGAGCAGAGAAAAGGACTTTCTGTTCAAGCATCCGTTCAAGAATGTTGAAATATTGGAATAGAAATTCCTGTATCCTTCCTATCATTCCTTCTTCGGCCTGTCACTTTGCTTCTCCCTTTCCCTTCTGGTGCTCACCTGTCACACTGTCAGACCTTCGCTCGGCACTAATGTTACCCTTCTTCTGTTGTAAGGCTGCGAGGTGTAGATGGACCTACACTTGGGTCTTCCTTCCAGACACAAAACAATATGGAAATGCTTTCTCTCGCTTTTCTGACTACATTATGATTAGAGGAAAGGCACAGTTGTGACGATCACACGCACCTCACTTCCAGTGGGCGAGTTTTTTATGAAATTACAAGTCTAGTTCCATATAAAACTTGGGAAACAAGAAAGCTATTCAAATTAGCAGTCTGCCTATTCTGTACAATATTGTTTGACTGATACACTTTCATGATGCTTACCTTTAAAGTACTGATATGTCATTGAGTTTTCCCTTTTATTTATAATGTCTAGTTTATATATATATAATTGTTCAGTAACTTAAAAATTTTTCAATTTAAAACATACATATCCAATATTACCCGAAAAGGTACATTCTTCTGGGTAGTGTATAATAACAACTCATAACATCTTTTTTTTTCTGATCAAACTACAATGTATCCTTAGGGGGAAAATGGACATTTTTATATCTCAGACTCATAAATTTAGCTGGCCACAGGAATAGTAATAATGCACAAGTTTTAAGAAGTGCATTTTCTTTTATCATAATGTCCAAAATTGCGTAGTCACCTAACACTTGGCGATGCTTTGCATGGGGAACATATTATGACAAGCTTGGGATTCTAAGTACTTAGAATATGAGCACGGGTATCAGCCGAGCTTATGCTGATTAAAGAAGATTCAGTGTTTTCAAATCCAATCCAGCTCATCCCCACATACACGTTAAGCATCTCCATAAAGCACAACTTCCACTCAGACCCAGGTATTTCAAATGCCATTTCATTTCACAGAAACTGATGGCACAGAAGAGGAAATTCACGTCAATAGGATTTGGAGATGGCCAGGAGAGAATTATAACTCCTCCCCTTCCCAGATGGTTGTCGGTCGGATAGGCCAAGGGACTTCTGTACGGATAGGGGGAAAAGGAAGAGAGAAAGGATCAGGGTTCTGGAGGTGAAGAGATGAAAAGATCATTGAAAAGGAACCATTTGGGCAATTTACTCTTTTCTGCACTGGAGTTATTCTGAGAACTGACCTTTTCAGCCCGGCAGTTACTGAGGCCCAGACTATTCACAACAGCCACCTTCCCATCAAGCGCCTGTTGCTCCCGTCGAAGTTGCTCCTTCATTTGCCGAGCTTCTTGGATTGCCTTGGTGACAGCATCATGGTCATTTAAATAACCTGATAAGGTAAATGAAGAGTATGTTTTGTAACCTGGTGTACATAAGTAAACCATAATAACTTCCAGGAATGGCTGGAATCTGGCACAAAATAATTTCTCGATGGGATTAATGTAATATGAATAAATATAAGGAAAAATCACTGAGGCCTGACTTACATAGTCATGTATCAATGTGGTCCCAAACATCTGAAATGAAACAGTACTAAAATCTATACTTAAGTGAAACATAGCTGCTTTCAAATATTTGGAAAGAAATCTTTCTTTAGTTATTATCTGAATAGTTTATAGTGCATAAATAAAAGCCATCTCTGATTTTTTTTTAATGGAAAAATTGTGTCTCTATTTTCATCATAATCTAGGTACTGATAATTATTTTAATTATTCAATCTCTCTTAGTTTTGGAAAATTTAGAGTTTGTGTGTTTGTATACAGGGAAAGAATGAAACACCAACTGACTGAAAGAACAGAATTCCCCCCTCCTCCCAAATTGACTTTTGGTCAAATAAACCCCACGTGGTAGTGGTTTGCTGTGGATAAAACTTACAATCATCGAGATGTTAAATCTGCAGCCCAAAATGTAACCTAGCATCTGCGATCATTTGACATAATTATGGCTACTGGTAACTCTCGAAGGCCAAACTAACCCACTGCTGTCGAGGTGATTCTGACTCATAGTGGTCCCACAGGGCAGAGGGGGACTGCCCCATAAGGCTCCCGGCGCCGTGGGTCTGGATGGAAGTGGACTGCCACCTCTTTCTACTGTGGAACAACTCAAGGACTGCTTAACCTACTGTACCACCAGGGGCTCCTGTGGCTACACTGAATTCACACTTCTAATAAGATGGTCAAATGTCCAGCTTAGTGGATGGCTCCACAATCCAGTTTGTAAAACTAAACCTGACAAATAATTTCATTTAAAGACCAGCAGGTTTAAGGAGCACTAGTTTGAACGTCATTTTTAATTCAATACCAGTTATTTCTTTATATGATGCACATTATTATAATGATCTCTATGATCGCAGGGTAGAATACCAATGAACAGAGACTGTCTTGCACATATTTAAAGGAAAGCTAATATCTATCGTCTTATTCTCTCACTATCTTTTAAGTAGGGCATAAAATGACATAAAACGAATCTGTAATATGAAATTACCCAGAAAAGGGACTTGTTTGTGACACGAGGCTAAATCTAACCAGATCCATTGGTGAATGGTGACAGATGGAGGGACTGTGAGACAGAAGGCAGGCACTAATCACACATAAAATGACCGGCTTGCCTCAACATGTTCCATGGATTCCAGCAAACTTTACACCCTAATCCATTTTTAGAACAAAAAACATCTGGGCCATAAATCCTCTAATCTGCCAAAACACGCTATTAAATCCCATGATTTGTTGAAAAACACTAAGATTAAAGAAAGGAAATATAAAATGGCTAACTGCCGTGTTACGAAAGTGTTATTAATACGCTTTCTTTGTCTCAATTATGAATGTTCTGGTACTAAAAAGCCTTGTCTAATCATGTCAGATTACGTATCCTCGTTGTATTGCTAGACACTTCTTTCTGATTGCCAAAAAAACGCAGAATATTTTCTTGCTGCTTAAAACATTTCTGTTGCAGAAACTCATGTCAGCTTAGTGCAGTGTTTTAGTGCTGGATGAGTTCTAAATGATCCGTGCCTATTTGCCCCTATTTATATCCAGACTAGACCTGGTTTTCTAATTTCTTTGAGGCAGAAAGATAAAGCGAGCATAGGAGACAGAAAGGGGAAGCATTAGAGCTACTATTTTACCTTCAAGAGTTAAGTCATTGGAAATTGTTTAAAGAATGAAGCAGATTTCTGGTCATTATAAATAAAATGTGAATTGATAACAACTCTTTAGACCTAGGACATGCCTTGATATCTACTACAAAAGATGGTTATATTACACCTTATATCTCCTGAACAACTTTCCTAATAAATTGTTCTTGAACTTTTTCTGTTTATGAACAATATTACTCTAAAAAAGAAATACATTTCTTCGTGTACTGAGATGGTTGCGGTATCTGTTCACAGGATTTTAAAGGAAGCAGGTTGATTTTTTTACTCTCTGATATTATGCACAGACCAGCATCATGTTTTATGTAGTCTATTTGGTTTCTAGGTAGTCTAGTGAGCCCCCCTAGAGTAACAAATATATTTCAAAAGGTTTGGCACATGAAACTGAATGAAGGCATGAATTCTTTATGCTTTTTAGTGGCTGCCAAGATAACATTGTGTAGAAAAATGATTAAAATGGACGCAAGAGGAATATAAATTATTATGGGGGTGACAAACTGACAGACCTATGTTCTGTAATGGCTATTTCCAATTTGAGAAGTATATTTATTTGTGCGTGGATGAAATTAAGTATTCACAGGAAAATTAACATTCTTGCTTTTAGAGACTCTTGTATTTTAATTAAAATGCAGTGTGCTACCCTAGCATTTGTGCCAATTGTCTTCAATCACAAAGCCATTTAGACGGTACAGGTTGGATCTTCGTAGGATTGTTTGCAGGTTCCTGACATTTTGTTCTCCTCATAGGAACCGAAGTTCTAATCCACAGACTCCCTCCCTGTCTCAGCAAAGGGCCTTGGCTTGATTTTAAAGGACCAGTAAAAGAGAATTTGGATCTTCCAGTTGCCCTCCTCCCCAACACTATGCTAACTTGGAATCTATCCCCATCTGGCTGTCTATAACTTCCTATTACAGTGAAATGTATCTGTACTTTAATGTATGGTTAATCGCTGAATTCTAGATTTCGGCATCTCTCCAGGAGAAACACGAGTCCTCGTGGTGCAATGCTGAAGCACTGGGCTCCTAACCAATAAGCCTGTGGTTATGATCCAGCAGCTGCTCTGTGGGAGAACTAGGCGTCAGTCGGCCTCCATAAAGATTAGGGCCTTGGAACCTCTCAGGAAGCTCCACTCGGCCCTAGAGTTGCTATCAGTTGGAATTGACTGAACAGCAATGACATGGGTCACTGATGATTTCTTTTTTCATTTGGTCTATGATATTTCCTTTTCTGATGCCTATCATCTACCCTACTTTCTATTCACCTCAATTTGTAAGTACGTCCTTGGGGTTCTAGCCCCAAGTGCATGAAATGAGCCCCTTGACTTTGTGTTGTCTTCTGGTTATCTTCTTTCTTTCTTTTTTCGACCAAGCTCCCCAAGACTTATCTCGTGGTTTTCCATTCCATCCTTGTTTACTGCATGCAATCTTGTTTCTGCTTCCCTCCGTCTTCGAAGTGTCAAATCCAAGAGACATTTTCTCCCCCTCACAGAATGATGGCCTCTTCCGTTTTATTGAAACCTCCTCCTTTCTTATTTCTCATAATAGTACTGGGTCCTCTTCTCTGACTGGATCCTTGCCTGGGTCCCCCCCCCCCCCTTCTCCTTAGATTTTGGTCACAGGTTTCAATTCTTAGGAAAAGCATGCGTTTTGAAGTTGGGAAATCCCTAATTACAATCTTATCTTTGCTTTTTACTAGGTAAATTCTTTGAATTTTTAAAAAGCCATTTCTAAATCTCATTAGTCTCTTCCGAGATGGAGGTAACTCCCCCTAGGTAAACCAAATGCTCGGAAGATTCAAGGAAAGGAGCTAGAACACAGGATGCTACCCTGGGTTAAAGGATGTTTCAATGATTTGGTGGAGAGTTCCCTAATAATGTAAGATATCTATTGCCTTCTTAAATTCCTTTCTGATTTATCTCTATATGCATATTTATAATTCATTTCTCTACTGGAATGCTCCGGAAGTATCTGTCATGCCACAAGTCCAGGAAGGAATTCATTGTTCTTCCAGGGGCTCACTCTGTTCGTTTTGCATTCCATAACCACGTCTAGCTCTCCATCTGGGCCGTTGAGAGTCAACGAAGATAGCTCTTCTGGCTTGACTACATGCATACACAGGGTAACCCAGGCTGACAGAGAAGTTTCCTCTTTGGCTCGACACCATCTCAACCTACACATCAGGTTTTATTTTCTCTTAAACAAGCTTTCATTTTCCTCCATCTCCATGGTCATTGCTTTTGTTAAAGCTAATTCACGTCTAGAGATGTAGTTAATTACTTCATATGGTCCTGGCTAGCCATACTGTGGGAGAGAGATGGAGCTTTCTACTCCTGTAAAGATTTAGTCTTGGAAATTGCAGGACCAATTCTATTCTGCCTGTGACAATAATCCAATTTTGGAGGCAGTTGTCTGTTTTGTTGATAAAACAGGAGTGTGATGATTGTTTTAGCAATTCTAACGCATAACAACTCTGTGCACAGCAGAACAAAACACTGTCTGCTCCCGAGTCATCCTCTCAATTGTTCTTATGTTGGAGCCATTGTTGCGGCCACTGTGCCAAAGTCTCCTTCTTTCTCAAGGCCCCTCCTCGAGTTTATCTTGATAACATATGCAAAGTACGTGAGACAAAGTCTCACTGTCCTGGTTTCTAAGGAGCATCCATTCCAGGTGCACTACATTCAAGACAGAGTTGCTTGTTCTTTCAGTAATCCATGGTGGTTTGAATATTCGTTGCCAGCACCATAGTTCAAATGCATCAATTCTTTGGTCTTCCTTATTTAGAGCTGATGTTAGGGTGGGATATATATTGAGTCCTCATCTTTTATTTCCTTGGGGATATGGTCTGCAGCAGGAACTGTGGTGGCATAGTGGGGCTGTGGACTGAGCTGTTGCCCATGAAATCTGTAGTTCAAACCCACCAGTATATTCAAGGAGATGAGGCTGTAAGGTCTGTATAGCTTTCAGCCTCAGAAACCCAAAGGCAGAGTTCTACAGTTCTACGGGGTCACTCTGAGTCAGAATTGATTTGCTGGCCGTGAGACAGTCTATACCTCCATCGAAGCCATTCTTTCCATGACTTCCCCTTCCTGAATGAGCAAGCCGATATGCTTTGACTTTTGGACATTTCACTGTGGGCTCTGGATCCACATATGGTTTGTTTTTCCCTTTCCCTGACCTATA